TCAGCAGCCTCAACAACCCATTGTGTAGGACTCCACACAGCAGCTTTCCACCTCATATAGTTTCCTACCACATGGCAAGATCCATCAGTAAACAAAGCGTAGTTTCTTTCATTTTCTGGTAACTCGTTATTTTATGATTCTTCTTGGGCATGAGTCACCTCTTCAGGCCATGCGCTAAAATCTCTGACTTCTGGCCAGTCCATAATCTCTTCCAGGATTCCTGGGAAATGGGGTTTTCCCATTCGGTCTCATTGTGTAATCAAAGCTACCTACTTACTCCATGTAGCACTGGTTGCATGATGTGTCAAGGGGATGTTCCCTTTGAACATCCAGTGCAGCATGGGCAATCATAGTGCCAAGAGGAGACAAGCTTCTGTCTCATTGACTTCTGAGGCGGCTCGAACCCCCTCATAGGCTGCTAATGTCTCCTTTTCAGTTGACATGTAGTGGGCTTCTGATCCTCGATAACCCCGGCTCTCAAACCCTAATGGTCGACCTTGGGTTTCACCTGATGTTCTCTGCCAGAGGTGGAGACATAGTCGCTATTTTGTTCACCACATCCATAGGCACATGATGGCATCCATCCTGCCATTTTATTCCCAAGAACTGGATCTCCCATGTAGCTCCCTTTACCTTACTTTGTTTTATGGCAAAACCAGTTTTCAGAAGAATTTGGATTATTTTCCTCCCTTTCTCAAAAACTTCTTCTGCTGTCTTGCCCCACACAATGATATCATCAATATATTGCAGGTGTTCCAGAGCTTCCCCCTGTTCCAGTGCAGTCTGGATCAGTCCATGGCAGATGGTTGGGCTGTGTTTCCACCCCGGGGCAGTTGATTCCAGGTATACTGGACACCCCTCCAAGTGAAGACAAACTGTGGCCTGCACTCTGTTGCCAGAGGGATGGAGAAAAATGCATTAGCGATGCCAATTGAGACACCTCTCGGCTGCTTTTGACTCCAGATCAAATTGAAGTTCCAGCATGTCCTGCACAGAAGCACTCAGAGGTGGCATGACTTTTTTCAGGCCACAGTAGTCCACTGTCAGCCTCCATTCTCCATTAGACTTTTGCACTGGCCATATGGGACTGTTAAAGGGTGATCAGGTCCTGCTGATTACTCCTTGCCTCTTCAGTCAACGAATTAGCGCATGGATGGGAGTTATGGAGTCTCAGTTGGTGCGATATTGCCATCAGTGCACTGTTCTGGTAGCAATTGGCACTTGTTGGTCTTCGACTTGCAACAATCCCATGATGGAAGGATCTTATGAGAGGTCAGGCAGGATAGATAATTGTAGCTACACCAAAAGCCCATTGATACCCCTTTGGATCTTTGAAGTCTCCCCTCCTGAGGTAGTCAATGTCAAGGATACAAGGGGCCTCTGGGCCAGTCACAATGGGGTGCTTTTCCCACTTGGCCCCTGTTAAACTTCAGCCACTAATAAAGACAACTCCTGGCATTCCCCTGTCACTCCAGAGATCCAGAGGGGTTCTGCACTTCTGTGCCTTTATGGCATCAGTGTGCACTGTGCTCCAGTATCCACCAAAGTTCTATACCTCTGTGGATCCCATGTGCCAGGCCATCGAATCCACACAGTCCAGTATGCCCAGTCATCCCTTTCTTTCTCTTGGCCAAAGGCAGGGAACCTCTATTCCTGTTTCTGGTCAGAGTATTCACTGTCTGACCTTTGTGATGCCAGATCAGAAGTCCCCTCACCAGGATCAAAGGAGTTGATTTCAGTCCCTTTATGTCTGGGAGGTCGCTGATTGCTTTCCTGGGTTTCTACAGCAACTACATGGACAGCTTTCTTGGGTGACCCCTTCTTAACAGTTCTCTTCCCTCTTAATTCATGTACCTGGGCTTCCAGTTTAAAGGTGAGTTCACCATCCCACTTCTTCATATCTTCCCTCTGGTCACGCAGAAAGAACCAGAGTTCACCACGTGGCCTGCTCTTAGGGGTTCCTTTCCCCCTGACTGGGGCAGGAGAGGACCAATCTCTTGGGCTGTCCCTGAGAGCTGAGGTGCTGGCCCGTGGGAATGAGGAAGTTCCTAGAGTTTCTTCCAAGTTTTGGAGCCAGGAGGATGTCACCCCTACAGTTGGTGCATCCATCTTCGGGTAATATAATGCTACCAGGCTATTGGAATATGATGCAGAGGTGCTTTGAACCACTTTCCTTCACGTGACCATCATGCAAGGAACATCCTCTGGATCTTTAGGGGTGTTATCACTTCTCAGGTTACTATAGATGATTTCCAGCACTGCTAATTCTCTCAAGTACTGGATAACTTCATCTGCCATGGTACACTTTCCTGGGGAGTTCATTAGATCTTCCTTGAATGGATACCTTGCCCTCATGCCTGAGAGGAGCTGTCTCCAAAGACTGCAAATTGTTCTTTCTTTTCCAATTCCTCTTTCAATTTCCCGATCTCTAGCAAGGGATCCCAGCTATTTGGCTTCATGACCTTCTAGTTGCTGACTATCAGCCCTGTTATCCCAGCATTGAAGCAGCCTGGTAGGAATCCACTCACCTGCCTGGCAACTGTAATCTTTCCACACGTCTTGAAGTTCTGATGAGGTCAAGGACTGGCTGACTTCAGTTTCCTGTTACATTTGTCTCACTCCTTTTGATTTCTTTGTTGATGGACCAGTTTCTTGATCTGCTCCTTCTCCTTCTCCTCCTTCTTTTCCTTCTTTTCCTTCTCCTTCTCCTTCTTCTTCTTCTCCTTCTCCTTCTCCTCCTCCTTCTTCTTCTTCTCCTTCTCCTTCTCCTCCTTCTCCTCCTTCTCCTCCTTCTCCTTCTCCTTCTCCTTCTCCTTCTCCTTCTCCTTCTTTTCCTTCTTCTTCCTCCCTTATAATCAATATGGACCTGTAACTTGCCTTATCCATTTTTTTCTTTTCACTACTGGGGCAAATACTATATTTGTTGTGGTTTGAGTCCCTATCTCAGCCATAGTGTCCTCCAGAGCAGTTTGGGTCCTTGCCTCCACTACAATCCTCTGAGAGTACTGAACTGTGGCTCCATAGGCACAGGCCAAGCCCCAGTACAGGGCAAGAAGTTGCTGGTTTTGATCAGGGCACAGTGCTGGGTCATGTCCACCAAGACCTAGGGCCTTTTCTACCAAGCTACTTTCCAGCTGGGTGGTCCTCATCCTATGTTGGTGCCTAGGGGTTGTTCCTTTCCAGGTACAGGACTTTGCATCACTTCCCCTTGTTGAATTTCATGAGGTTCCTGTCAGCCCATTTCTGCAGCCTATCAAGTTCTCTCTGGATGGCAGCATGACCTTATGGCATATCAACTACTTCTCCCAGTTCTGAGTTGTCTTACAAGCTTATTGAGGGTATACTCTGCCCCATCATCCAGATCATTAATGAAGATGTTAAACAGAACCACTGGGGTCCACTGCTAGTCACTGGTCAGTTTTCCATTCTTCTCATCCTGCCCCTGTTTCTTCAGTTTCTCTATGAGGATGCTATGGGAGACACTGTTGAAAGTCTTCATGAAGTCCAGGTAGAAGTCCACTGCTTTCCCCTCATCTACAGGGCCAGTCATTTCATCACAGAAGGTTATCAAGTTGGTCAAGCATGACTTCCCTTTGGTGAATCCATGCTGACTATTCCTGATGGCTTTCTTGGCCTTCATTTGTCTGGAAATGGTTTCCAGAATTAGCTGCTCCATCACTTTCCTGGGCATCGAGGTGAGGCTGGCTGGCCAGTAGTTTTCTGGGTCCTCCTCCTTGCCCTTCTTCAAGATAGGAGTGGTATTTGCTTTTGTCCAGTCTTCAGACACTACTCCCAGTAACCATGATTGATCAAAGATTATCAAGAGTGGCCTCACAATGACATCTGCCGGCTCTTTTGGCCCTCATGGGTGAATTCCATCAGGGCCCATGGACTTATGCATGTCCAGTTTGCTTAAGTATTCTCTGATCTGATCCTCTTCCACCAAAGGTACATTTTCCTTGCTCGAACCTTTTTCCCTGGTCTCAAGGGCCTGATTTTCCTGAAAGCTAGTCTTGCTAGTAAAGACTGAGGCAAATGCAGCATTCAGTACCTCGGCCTTTTTTGTGTCCTGGTGTCCTGTGTAACCAGGTCCCATGTCTCATTAAGCAGCGGTTGCATGTTTTCCATAGTCTTCTTTTTGTTACCTATGTACTTATAGAAGCCCTTCTTGTTGTCTTTGACATCCCTTGCCAAATTCAATCCCATTTGGGCTTTGTCTTTCATAACTCGATATAAGAAAGAGAGACTCAGACAATATCTTTGTATTCCTCAGGTTGCCCATCCTTGCTTCCACCTCTGTATACTTCCTGTTTGAGTTTGACCAGGAAGACACCTAGAGTTTGTGGAGGTTTTAGAAATAATAAAAAATGTAAATTAGGATTCTCAAGTATGATACTGTTCCTGTATTAAATGTCATTATTATATTAAATGCCAGACCTTGTGTACTGGATCTGGTTCAGATGGAGTTTTACTTTCTTCATAGCAGCCTGTATAGTGAGGTGTTTGGGATTCTTGACCTAACAGCATTGATAACACACTGATGTTTTAACTATTGCTGAACAGTACTTGTACAGCATCAATGGCCAGTGAGTAGGCTAGTGTTGGGAAGGGGACACAGCTAGGACAGTTGAACCAAGCTGACCAAAGATATTGCATACCAGTTAATGTCATACTTAGCAATAAAACTGAGGGGAAACTTTTCCAAAGTAGTTGTTGCTCAGAGACTGGCTGGACAGTGGTCTGCTGGTGGGAGGTGGTGAGTTATTGTCTTTGCATCACTTTTCTCATTCTATTGGTCGGGTTGTGGTTTTTTTATTTGCTTATTAGACTGTTTTTATCTCAACCCATGAGTTTTTCTCACTTTTGCCATTCTGATTCTCTCGCCCATCCTGCCTGGGGTGAGGGGAAAATAATGTTGTAACCGGGTGGGGATTTAACTAGCTGGGGTCAACTTACTGCACCTTGTTAAAATTTTAATTTTTATAAACTTCTTTTTATAGATCACAAGACCATCCAGATCAACAAACACACACCACTGGCAGTATTGCTACCACATCAATATCAAGCAGTAATACCTCAACACCAACTTCAACAAATATTAGTTCTTTTGCCTTGGGTAAGAATATTTGTTAGATAACATGGTGGCTATCTTAGGTATCTTGGTTTCAGTTAAGTATCCCTGGAGCTTTATTCTAATGTAAACTGGACTTAAAAAATTATAAGATTACTGATTGCAAAAATCTATGGTGTTGGTTGGAATAAGGTTTTGATCAGTAAGTTATCAGAGGTAAATCGTTTCCTTTATTTTTATGTACAGAACTTTGGGCTTGTGCTGTTTCATCTTCAGTAATAAGGTGCCACTAATCTTGTATTCTGGCACTATAGGTAATTAAACTCCTTCCAGTCTCCTTCCCCTCCTTAACAGTGCATTTGAATTGGCCTGAAGAGAGTACTGAAGTTAGACCCATAATATCATGACTTGGAGCAGAAGTAACAAAGTTACTCCTATGTTACAAACCAGTATTGTTCAGGTTCTGATTGAATTATTGGTCTTCTTTTTCAGGAATAGAGACAGAAGTCTATTAATTTAAAAATATATTTTTTCAGAGTTGCAACATTTTGTTCTTCATGCTCTTTGTTTGCTTTCTTTTTAAAAACAAAAAAATGAGACAACAGAAAACTGTGTTAAGCAATTGCTTTTCTTAGTTGTAAACAGTCCTCCAGACTGTCTAGTACCTTCTAAAAATGTGAAACTTTTGTTTGCTAAACTCTGCAAAGGAGAATTTAAAGCATTATTAGTTCTTGTTGCATCAGCAAAAAGAAGAGTTCTACTTTTTGTTTAGAATAGAGTATGCATCATGTTAAGAGATTCCTCATGGTGGTGGTCTCTATAAATGATTATTACAAATGTATTGGAAAGTGTTGGGAATTAACCTGAGGCCTTAAAACTCAAACATCCCTTGTACCTCAGCTACAGTAAAGTAGAAGAAAAGCTGTTAGAATTCTAACAAGTTATATTTCAGATGCAGTTTGGATTTCTAGATGTCTTATTACATACAGAAGCAAACTCCTAGTGAAAGACTCCTTAACAGCCTTGCAAAGATAGAATTTCCATTGAATTTCATTATTTTGAAGCATGGGTTATGTTTATGTATTTCGTACTTAAAAGAACCTGGATGTCTTTAGAAATATATTAGAAGCTGAAAGTTTAATTTTTTTTCCTTTCACCTTAAAGGTGGCCTTGAAGGTTTGACAGGCCTGAGCAGCCTGGGTTTAAATGCATCAAACTTTTCAGAGTTGCAAAGTCAGATGCAACGACAACTTATGTCCAACCCAGAAATGATGGTTCAGATAATGGAAAATCCGTTTGTTCAGAGCATGCTTTCAAATCCTGACCTGATAAGACAGTTAATTATGGCTAACCCTCAAATGCAGCAACTGGTACAGAGAAATCCAGAAATCGGTCACATGCTGAATAATCCAGATATAATGAGACAGGTATGTAGAAAGAACTCTTAAGGTCATGACCTTTGATTATATTGTAACTGGGAATAAAAGAACAAGAATTGGACATGCTTACATGAGTGCTGAAATATTGTTGAGGAATTTAGGCTTGTTAGACAATCTGTAAAAGGTTACTATAGGAAATAGATGAGTTTTTTTTCTAGCTGCTGGTGTCTGAAATAAGCTGATAATTAAAAAAAAAAAGCATATTTTTGAAAGATGCTGAAGACTATATAATTGTATATTCTGAGTTGAGTCGAATGCCACTTGAAATCTTCTGTTGTCTAGTCGACAGTGAGTTTACTTTAAAGTAATAATTCTCCAAAGTACTACTTATTTCCAGTTTATGTAACTGTGGGTACTTCTGATTGCTTCTGAAGTTATGTAAGATGTGCCTTATGTGACAGAGGGCATCAAGAAACAAGTGGAGGCTTTGGAAAATGTAGGTATTTGTTTTTCAAGATGCATACTGTACTGAGATTAGAAATGGGAGAAACATATTCTGTTGAGATGAGACAAGAAAGAACAGGATGGTACATTCAAGAGCTTTTTCTTCTGTTTAGTCAATGCATTGTGATTCAGCTAGCATATTGACAGTTGTGGCAGAATGTTAAATACAAAATACTCCCCTCTCACTTAAGATGACGTCTTGATTTGGCTTTAATCTTGATTTCAAATGGAGTTAGACATTAGTAACTGAGGTACTGCTAAATGACAATGTTTTCACTTTAGAATGGATTTTTTTATGAATACAAATTACATGTTCTATTTCATTAGACACTAGAACTTGCTAGAAACCCTGCAATGATGCAGGAAATGATGCGAAACCAAGACCGAGCCTTGAGCAACCTTGAAAGCATACCAGGTGGCTACAATGCCTTGCGACGTATGTACACAGATATTCAGGAGCCAATGTTGAACGCAGCTCAGGAACAGGTGAGAAATGATTGTAGGGGCTACTGAAACTAAGTGGGTTTTAGTTGGTTGTTGGGGTTTTGTTTGTTTTTTGTGTGGCTTTGTGGGTTGTTTTTTGGATTATTTTCAAATATGAAAGAAGATAAATAATGTCACTTTTCAAATGTGTACTTGACAAAACTTAATTTCTTGAAGCTTGAAGTCAAAGTGTAGTTTGTTCCTATGCTCTTTTAAACTTGAAGGGATAAAGATTGTTATGTGAGTTTGATAAGCTGTTTTAATGTTAATAAATTTTTCTTATATATGTTCTAAATTTATGTTTAATTCTTGGACTTATAAAGTTACTGAGGTTCAGGAAAAATGAAGAGTGTATAACTTGGAACCTAAGGCGGGAAGAAAAAAGGCTTTGAATTTTTTCTAAGTTGAAAACCGCTATGCAAGATATAATCTTACTGTGATCAAAGTACTAGTGTAGTAGCATATGCTGCATTTAAATGAAGTGTAATTAACTTATCTTTTTTTTTCTTGTTGGCGATAATATCTCTTTCAATGTTGGTATCTTTTCAGAATATTTACAATGACTCATTTTAGGATGGCGATTATAATTGATTACCATAACTTGCCATTTCTAGCAGACTTAAAAATAGTTGACTAATAGATAATGTGTTTCTTTCTCCTTCTGTAGTTTGGAGGTAACCCATTTGCTTCCTTAGTAAGCAATGAATCATCAGGAGGGGACAGTCAGCCATCTCGTACAGAAAATAGAAATCCTTTACCAAATCCCTGGGCTCCTCAGTCCAGCTCTCAGAATTCCACAAGTACCAGCACCAGTGGTGAGAACAGTGGCAATAGTAATGTCAGAAATAACACCTCTGCTAGTATGGGACAGAGCTCAACTATACCAAATTTGGGATCTGGACTAGGAGGTGTGTCTGTTATTGCACTTGTATATATTGGCAAATATTCAGGAGTTAGGTGAAAATATTTTGTTATTAGAGATGTTTTGATTAAAAGTTTGTGTTACTGTTAATTTCCATAGAATATTTGACTAGTGTCAAAGTCCTCTGTGGGAAAACAATCATGAAAAGTAAACCAAGAGTGCTAACGATACTTGTGTACTGCCTTAAAATAAAAGTAGGGAATCTGTACATGAATGATAATATTTTTTTCTGTTTGGAGACAAACAGGAAAACAGTTAATATTGTAGATACTTAGCCTGATTGCTTGTTGGATATGACCTCTGGCTTATTTTGTTTCTAGGGCAGATGCATCTGTGTAAGCAGAACCACATTGAGATGTATTTAAGGGGCTAAAGCTCATTAAAAACAACAAACAAAACAAAACCACACAGTTGTATCCCAGTTCTAGGCAGTCTAATTAATTTGATTATAGTCAAGGTTTTTACTAAAGTGACCTTTTACTTTTTTTTTTTTTTTTAAGTTGGTATGTTCAACACACCAGGAATGCAGAGCTTGTTCCAGCAGATAACAGAAAATCCACAACTTATGCAAAATATGTTGTCTGCACCCTATATGAGAAGCATGATGCAGTCATTGAGCCAGAATCCTGATCTTGCAATACAGGTAAATGTTTTTTATGTAGGAATGAGTTGTATACACTGAAGTGAAAAAAGGAGTTGAATTTATCATAGTTATATTTTCAATACAGAATTACTGTGCTAACTTCTCAACAATAATCTGTTTGTTGCAAATGTTTTTAAATTATGTTAATGTCTGACTTGCTGAAATTATTACCTAGTTACCTTTAGCAATCTGTTGCAGTAAGTTTCTTCAATTTGTCGTTGGACATCATGTCAGGCATTTTCTTGTAACAACTTGTGTTTGTGTATGTTTCATACAGCCCTATAATTTTGTGGCCTAGTATAAGAACCAGTTAAACAAAACAAATGCTTTAATTATAAATTAAGGTAGATCTGCTAGTAAATAAATATCTACCTTAGCTTAGGAGGACAGAAGTAGAGGGGAAGGATTTGGTGCCATATCTAGCTGTTATTCTGGTTTTCCTTTCTCACCTGTGATCCTTGCTTGCAATAAAAGTGCTTATACTGCTGTTTTATAAATGGTATTGTAGAAGTGCTTTCCAATTTTACTTACAGCAATAATATCCAAAGTCAAATCTTGACCTGAGATAATATTATTTTGTATACTAAACAGTTAAGTGGAAACATCCCAGGCTTTTTGCAAACAATATTTAAAGGGAAGCCATCACATCAGTAGTGGAGGTTGACTAGAAAAGGCATATGTTGCATAACTGAGGTTGCTTTGGTGAGTATCTGTCAAGGATTTACTTCAGAAGTTTAATGCCACCCCAGAAAAAACCCACAACAAAAACTACACCCAAAAATAAATAAAAAAAAGATGCAAAAACCCAAACAAAGAAAAAACCAAACAACAAAAAAACAACAGCCACACCACCAATTATTTCAGTCAATTCTCAGGGTGGTGGTTCATTGTTTCAGAACAAGTTTTGACCAAAGGAGATAATTACTCTGAGGTTATCATAGTCTATTATCTTGTTATCTTGTTATCTTGTTATCTGATTTGTATATGGTTAATAGTTGTCTTAAAATCCACTCTGGTATTTACTTTTTGATCTACTGTTTGATCCATGATGTTAAATATTTTTGGCCCATAGATGATGTTGAATAATCCTTTATTTGCTGGAAATTCTCAACTTCAGGAGCAAATGAGACGACAGCTTCCTACCTTCCTTCAACAAGTAAGATGAGATACTAAGTCTTGTTAATTAATGTCTGAAATTCAGTGAGCAATTTTTGCAACAAACTGCTGCCTTTCCTTGATTTCACTTAAAACTACATTCTGTATTCTCATTAGCTTTAGACACTGAGTTGCATTATCCCTTGTAAGAATTGATATGCACACAGGTAAACCCAGATGACCAAACCACAGCTAGGATATTAAGGAAAAGTTTATGCTGAAGTTGGAAACCCTAAATACACTGCTAAATCATGCAGTGGGCGAAAGAGTAGAAGCAGCAAAAATCTCCTTGAGCAAAATTCTTTTTCCTCCTTGAATATATCTATATATCTTCCACGTTTAAACTTTCTGTCTCTACATCCCTTGATAATTAAATGCTTGATTTATCTCTCCATCCCTTTCAAAAGTTAAATCTGGCTTTTAGTGGAGTGGATATTTTTGTCTGTGACTAGCACAACTGCTTTGATTTGCTCTTGTGCCTTTGCTTAGAAGTAATGACTTGTTCTTACTGCCCACCAGCCAGAGATAACTTGTTTCCCACATGATTTCTTTTGCGAAATAAAGAAAAAATATTATTCCTTTTCCCACTACTAAGATAAGCTTTAACGGTACTTTTCTCATACTTCCTCTACCCTGCCCTGATTCTTTGGGGTAAAGAGATCTTACAGCATGCCTTGAAAGATGCAAGTCATAAGCTAATTCAAAAGAAGTGAAGTTAGTTCTGAAGATGTTTGCCTCTAAAGATTGCCTTGCCACCAACTTTCCCTCTTACACTATTGTGGTTGCAGCCCCACTATTTGCTTTATCTTAGCTGTCACAGTGTATACAAGGACTGTGTCCTTTAAATAGGACTAAGCAAAATTTTTAGGAATTAAAAATTGAATCCAGTGTATGAGTTCTATCATTAGGCACTCTTTGCAATTCAAAGTAAATGTGTACTGCCAAGATCTCATTGCATGTAGGCAGTGTTATGAGTAAAATAAATAACATGAATTTCATGCCATTGATGATTGTCTGATGCTCCAATCTATCTAGATCCCCCTGCAAGGCCTCTTGTCCCTCACGAGAGTCACAAGCACCTCACAGTTTAGTATCACCAGCACACTTTCTAATGGTGCGTTCAATTCCTGCATCCAGATTGTTGATAAATATGTTGAACAGAACTGGCCCTAGAATTGAGCCCTAAAGAACACTGCTGGTGACTGCATCCACTGCCTTCTTTTCATCTACTAGGCGTGTGTCCTTATCATCAAAGGATGAGGGTTCTTAAATATTATGTTTGCTAGTATGTTTTGCAGAGTAGATGTCTGAATTTAGATAGAAAAAGATGTTTTATAACTTTCTGTATTAGATACCTTCTTAGGTTTCACTGTATTCAGCTCTGTTGTTTACCAGTATTATGATATAGGAGACTAATTTAGAATTATGTTGAACTAATAAACTCCTATGGCTTTGGAAGATGATAAAGTCTACTAGAAAAAATAATGAGAAATACTTTTCCTTATGTTCTCCTTATATAAAAGGAGTCTAGAGAGCTCATTCATCATCTCCTGTGAAAGTTTTCTCAAAAAAAAACAATCTGAAGGATTTAATGTAAATATTCAAATACAAAGTTGAAAACCAGCAAGTTCTGAAAGGATATTAGATTCTATAAAACATCTTGTGATAAAGATCAACTTTGAATATCTGCATATTATTCAATTATGAGTTTCCTGTTTTTAGATGCAGAATCCTGACACATTATCAGCTATGTCAAACCCTAGAGCAATGCAGGCTTTACTACAGATTCAGCAGGGCTTGCAGACATTAGCAATGGAAGCACCAGGACTTATACCAGGGTAAGAATTAGTCATACAAATTTATACAAGAACTTTTCTCTTGTGTTTGTGTTTTTGTCAGCTTTTGTCTTTCTTTTTAACATATAGAGGTTTATCCAGTTTTTACAGACTGTTCCTCTTGCATTTTTTAGTTTCACTCAACTTGTTTTAGAATCTGTCACACTGTGGTGGTTTAAAAAAACATCTGGGAATTAAACTCCAAATAAACTGCTCCCCTTCCCCTAGTGAGAGAGGGACAAAGGCAGAGACTTATGGGCTGAGATAACAATTTACTGAAAACAAACAACAGTGGAATAAGAAACGCAGAGTAGCAGCAACAATATTAATAACACAAGTATACAAAAGAGAAGGTTCTTTATACACAAAAGGTGTTCACCACCTTGACTCAGTTCCGCATGGTCGCTGAGACAAAGACGAGATGGCAGATGTTCCCACAACTAGCATTTCCCATTCCCAAGCCTGAGACAACAAGAAACAGTGCTGGACAAATCCCAAAAAAGCTGGATTGTCTGCATTGCGCCACCCACTTCCAAGACCACTCCAATCCACTTTTTTCATCCTGCATGGCACTGCTGCTTCAGACCACTCTGCTCCACTGTGCTCGGGCTCAGCTCCTCTCATCTTGGTTCGCCACTGCTTCGTTCCCCACAGCTGCTTCCAGCATTGGCGCATGCATGTGTTCTGCTGGGTTTAGCTGTGTTTGATGCTTGGAGTTGCTTTTTTCCCAAGGGGATGGGAAGGGATGGGTGGCAGCAGCAGAAGGACAGGGTCCACAAGGCTGGTCCCAGTAACTTCCCTGAAGCAAAGATTGAATAAAATGGTGCTGCTTCCAGTGTACATTCATATTTTCTTCCCTCCAAAGCCATGCCCTCCAGTAATGAAGTGGATGGTGTCAAATAGCAACCTAGCCATGCCCACAGAGTTCTAGGCTCCTCCCTGTTCTCAGCACCTGCAAGCAAAACTAGGACATACACTTTTGTTTGCAAGAAACTTTTAAGCAATGGTCTATGGTCTTGTTTTAGTGCTTAAGTTGTCATCCATTTTTTATTTGACAGAATTTTTACTTAGTAATTACATCTTATGGGAAGAGATTACAACTAAGCCATTTTTTTACTTTAGTGATGTATTTCTCTGTCATTTGTGTAGATTCAATCCTGGTTTAGGTGGATTGGGAAGCACTGGAGCTCCTACAGGGTCCACTGTACCTAGTTCAATTCCCAGTGAAAATACAAGCCCAATATCAGGGGCCACTGATCCTGGTCACCAGCAGTTTGTCCAACAGATGTTGCAGGCACTTGCTGGTGCAAATGCTCAGGTAAAGTAGATCACTGTATTCTGCCGTGATCTGTGTCTGTGTGGTTGGTGGGGTTTTTGTTTGTTTGAGGTTTTTTAAATATCCAGTGAGAAAGACACACAGACACTCCCCACACACACCCCTCCCCCCCATCCATACACACACCCCTTTCCCCACAGTAAACAAACAGAATGCTTCTGGTCAAAGGAGAGCAGAGGAAGATTAAAAGTGATATTCTAGCTGTGCAAATAAATGCTGGGAAAACATCACATGTGAGTAAAAGTGTCCTCTGAATGGTTGATTGATAGATACACCTATCTTAATACCCTTGAGTTTCTGAAATGCCTGGAAAGAAGGGAGATTAAGGTGTTAAAGGGAGGGCAGGTTCCCTGGCAACTGAAATGTGGACTCAGACAAGAAAAGAACTTAAACATACTGAACATCATTATCTCTGTACTTTGTGTTGCTGGTTGTAGCTCAGGTTATTTGGGGCCTGAATTTGTAGCATGCTTCCCTGACATCCTGCAGGTTCAGATTGCACAATGTACATTGTGTTAACATACCAAGTGGGATTTAGGCTTTCTGGAGAGGTCCAGAAGTCAAACAAAGGTGGCAACTTTGTGAAACAGAACCATTACACTGTGATACATATCCAGTGTAATGGCAGACTGCTGATAAAAGGGACAGTCCTGTTCCTACCTCCTCTGTTGCCACAGAATAAGGCAGTTCAACTTGCTGATCTCACAGAAAAATGTTACTTTTTGTAACTATGAGAAAGTGGTGGTAAGAATAGCTATAGAAAGCCATGTTCTCATAGATATTTTTATCATTCTAGATCCTATGCTACCAATTCAGTATTCCATTTGGTTTTTCAGGTGGGGGGGAATGTTTACATTTCAGCCAGTATGTTTGCATTTTATTAGGAAGTATATGCAGTTTTTAAATACTGATAGGAATTTCTCAATGGATGAAACTTTAGGTAGAACAAAAGGAAAATAGCAGTAGGTGCAAAAATCTTGTGTTGATATATAAACTGTCTCACTCATTTCAAAAAGTGGCTTCTCAGTATTACTCTGACCTTATATACCTAAAGTATATTTTCATATAATTGTTCTATTTCACAAATGTCTCTGAGATGAAGAGGATACAACTGAGATTATTCATAATTTTTGCCATTAGTTTATGAGCAATTTATTTGAGCAAGATCAACTCATAAAGCACAGCTGTCACTTTGCCTTAGGCTGAACTTTTTAACTAGAATTTTGGTAAATTTAGTAAACAAATACTTGGAGCATTTAAGAGGTAACTTTTATGTCAAGGAAGAAAAAAAGCCTACCATATCCACTGTTGCCTACAGTGACATTCTCAAAAATTTTCTATTCCACACTACTATATTAGATTCATTCATAAAAAAAAAAAGTCTGCACATGCATCGTTAATAAACTATTCTTGGGACACATTTATCAGATGTAAGTGTTCCTTTTTAATCAAACAAGCAGCTGTGCTTGTAGTTTAGAAATGTCACATAAGTGAAGATACTCTTAAAATTTGAGGCTAATCTGACTTGTTTGATCAGCAATTCAGTTGTGAATGAAATTTGGGGAATTTGGAAAAGATGCATTCAAAATTAGTAAAGACAATAAGTGGTTCTGAACCAACTATGTTTAAATCCTGTACTTTGCCAAATATGTATTATGCTTTTATAGCTTGAGATTTTTTTTCTTAGCAGTTACAAAATCCAGAAGTTAGATTTCAGCAACAACTGGAGCAGCTGAGTGCAATGGGCTTTTTGAACCATGAAGCAAACTTACAAGCTCTAATAGCAACAGGAGGAGATATCAGTGCGGCTATTGAAAGACTGCTTGGTGCTCAGCTTTCATAGCACTATTTCTTTAACTTGAAAAAATGTAATTTATTTTTGATAACAGCTCTTAAATCTTTAAAACAGTTGCTTTATTTCATTCTGACTCTTGTGTTTGCCTTGTTATAACTAAGTCATGCATTTTAAGGTCAAGTGTAGTAGTTTTCTTCAAATAGGGAATTGATGCATTTTCACTCAGTTATTGTGTGCATCACTTTTGTTCTTCATTATTTCTTAATTTTTTTTAACAATATCAGCTTTCACAGTTGATTGAGCAGGTTTTGTTAAACTTGCAACTGTCCAATTTATTTACTACTAAACCATTAACCTTCAGTAGTAATTTATGTAGGATACAAATTCAAAAGGAAACAATTGAAAGCTATAATATGTGGGTACCAGTGCTGCTTACGGTGATTTAGGCATGTATTTTTTCTGCTAGAAAATTGCTGTAAGATTTATACCACTTTGAGTAATCTACCATTTTTGCTTTTATTTGTATGAAGTATAAACACGGCATATACAATGGAGACATCTCATTTATATAAATTTACACATTGCAATAGAATGAAATTTTAAGTAACCAAAAAAGGCCAGGGAAAAGAAAAAGTAGTAAGACAGGGGGTTTAGTGTAGAATCTTCCAGCATATTATGTAAACAACTCAGAAAAAATGCTTAGGCAAGTTCATTTTAAAATATATTAGAATTGCTGTTCTAGTTATATCTTACATCTAGCCATAAAGAAACTTTGCACTGTAACATTGTCTCATTGCAACTGTTACAGATTAATTGTAAATTACCTTTGTGCAAATTAAGGGAGCACTGCCTTGGTGCTCTGAAAATGTTTCTAAGGCATTTTTGGCTTGTTCCATTGAGATTCTAACAAGCATTATGATTTTTAATTGGAAGCATTATTTTTTTTAGCCACTGTCATGCGATATTCCCTAATTATTTATACCACTCATGTAAAAAATACTGTATATCTCTTGAGATTTTATTGATAGTTACCTCTCATGCACAGGTAATAGAATTAATTTAAAAGTATTTAATCATCTTGTTTCAGTGTGTTTGCAATTGGTGATTATCCAGCATTCAAGATGACCCAAGATGATTCAAGTGTCAGCTCTGGGACTATTTACAGACTTTGGGCTAAAATTAACAAACAATATTTAGAGGTTGTCCCAGTTTAAATGAGACAAGGGTCTTTTGCTGAGGATGGATTAGGAGGAAAAGACCCAAACTTCTCTTTCCAAGCAATTATAAATCCAAAATTAAGAGGCTTCGATTGAAGGAAAACAAATTATGGAAAAGGAAAATAACAGCCCTTTATTAAAAGGTATGTGTGTATTAACAGGAACACGAAAAAAAAAAACCAAGTAAAATAACTAAGTAATACTCCTATACCCACCAATAATCCCCTTCAAGAACAAAACCGATAAACTGGCAAAGGAAAATAGTTCAATTTCTTGCACCCTTTGGTGCAGTTCCAACCACAGTCAGCAGGGGCGCCATCGGGTCACTGGAGATGCAAAATTTGTAATGTCCTGTACCATTCACCCAGGTGGCGCTGTTGGGTCACTGAAGGTGTAAAAACTTGTAGTGTCCTATTGTAGTCACCAGGTGGCGCTGTTGGATCACTGAAGGAGTAGAACTTGTAATGTCCAGTGCCCGTCACCAGGCGGCGCTGTGAGATCCTTGGCTGCCGCCGGGTGGGGGGAAAGAAGGGAAGGAAAACAACAGCAATAAAACAGAAAGTTCTCCCAATGGAAGAAAACTCACAAACTTCAGCTGATTAGGGTCTGTTGTAAGCAGGGCTTGCAACCAGCCACAGCTGAGCCAAGAGCAGCAGCCAGAACTCCCCTCCGACAGGAAAGAGACAAAGGAACCCGGCAGTGTCTGCAAGGAGGAGATATCAGTGCGGCTATTGAAAGACTGCTTGGTGCTCAGCTTTCATAGCACTATTTCTTTAACTTGAAAAAATGTAATTTATTTTTGATAACAGCTCTTAAATCTTTAAAACAGTTGCTTTATTTCATTCTGACTCTTGTGTTTGCCTTGTTATAACTAAGTCATGCATTTTAAGGTCAAGTGTAGTAGTTTTCTTCAAATAGGGAATTGATGCATTTTCACTCAGTTATTGTGTGCATCACTTTTGTTCTTCATTATTTCTTAATTTTTTTTAACAATATCAGCTTTCACAGTTGATTGAGCAGGTTTTGTTAAACTTGCAACTGTCCAATTTATTTACTACTAAACCATTAACCTTCAGTAGTAATTTATGTAGGATACAAATTCAAAAGGAAACAATTGAAAGCTATAATATGTGGGTACCAGTGCTGCTTACGGTGATTTAGGCATGTATTTTTTCTGCTAGAAAATTGCTGTAAGATTTATACCACTTTGAGTAATCTACCATTTTTGCTTTTATTTGTATGAAGTATAAACACGGCATATACAATGGAGACATCTCATTTATATAAATTTACACATTGCAATAGAATGAAATTTTAAGTAACCAAAAAAGGCCAGGGAAAAGAAAAAGTAGTAAGACAGGGGGTTTAGTGTAGAATCTTCCAGCATATTATGTAAACAACTCAGAAAAAATGCTTAGGCAAGTTCATTTAAAATATATTAGAATTGCTGTTCTAGTTATATCTTTACATCTAGCCATAAAGAAACTTGCACTGTAACATTGTCTCATTGCAACTGTTACAGATTAATTGTAAATTACCTTTGTGCAAATTAAAGGAGCACTGCCTTGTGCTCTGAAAATGTTTCTAAGGCATTTTGGCTTGTTCCATTGAGATTCTAACAAGCATTATGATTTTTAATTGGAAGCATTATTTTTAGCCACTGTCATGCGATATTCTAATTATTTTAACCACCATGTAAAAAAATACTGTATATCTCTTGAGATTTTATTGATAGTTACCTCTCATGCACAGGTAATAAATTAATTTAAAAGTATTTAATCATCTTGTTTCAGTGTGTTTGCAATTGGTGATTATCCAGCATTCAAGATGACCCAAGATGATTCAAGTGTCAGCTCTGGGACTATTTACAGACTTTGGGCTAAAATTAACAAACAATATTTAGAGTTGTCCCAGTTTAAATGAGACAAGGGTCTTTTGCTGAGGATGGATTAGGAGGAAAAGACCCAAACTTCTCTTTCCAAGCAATTATAAATCCAAAATTAAGAGGCTTCGATTGAAGGAAAACAAATTATGGAAAAGGGAAAATAACAACCCTTTATTAAAAGGTATGTGTGTATTAACAGGAACACGAAAAAAAAAAAAAACAAGTAAAATAACTAAGTAATACTCCTATACCCACCAATAATCCCCTTCAAGAACAAAACCGATAAACTGGCAAAGGGAAAATAGTTCAATTTCTTGCACCCTTTGGTGCAGTTCCAACCACAGTCAGCAGGGGGCGCCATCGGGTCACTGGAGATGCAAAATTTGTAATGTCTTGTACCATTCACCAGGTGGCGTTGTTGGGTCACTGAAGGTGTAAAAAAAAAAACTTGTAGTGTCCTATTGTAGTCACCAGGTGGCGCTGTTGGATCACTGAAGGAGTAGAACTTGTAATGTCCAGTGCCCGTCACCAGGCGACGCTGTGAGATCCTTGGCTGCCGCCAGGTGGGGGGGGGGGAAAGAAGGGGAAGGAAAACAACAGCAATAAAACAGAAAGTTCTCCCAATGGAAGAAAACTCAGAAACTTCAGCTGATTAGGGTCTGTTGTAAGCAGGGCTTGCAACCAGCCACAGCTGAACCAAGAGCAGCAGCCAGAACTCCCCTCCGACAGGAAAGAGACAAAGGAACCTGGCAGTGTCTGCAGCCCGCAGCAGCCTCTCACCCTGGCAGAGAGAGAGACTCCCCTCTCCCCCCAGCCTCCACCCCTTCCAGTCACACACCAGCCAACTCCCCCCCTTTGTTGTCAAGGAAACAAATCTCGGCCATTAGGGACTCGAGCCGATTCTTTTGTTCAACTAATGGCCCATATACAGAGCACACACACATGGCAGGAGGAAAGGAAAGAAAAATTCCTTGCTAAAAATACGAACTATGACAAGAGTATAAAGTGGAGGACAGAGAGGAAGGCTCATATGATATTGAAGACTGTTTAGATAAAGTGAAAGTAGTGAAATAAAGCATTCTTCTGTGTGTTACAGAATAGCACTTGCTTTTTATTCGTCTTTGGTGTCAGTGTAATTGTGAACATTCTAATTTAATTCTTGTATTTCATTAGACACTTCATCTGAACAATCTTTTGGTACATATATAAAGCCAGTTTGTTCTAAAAAAAACATTGTTTGCAAATGGTTTAAACTTACTGACCTTGACTCAAAATTGTTAATAAGTTAAATGAAACAAATTTATAATGGGATATAAAGGAGGGCATTGAGCACACTTTCTTTTACATACAATGAAATTAATAAAACTCTTGGCAAAGCCAAGCATGCAGATTTTACAGGGAGTAACTGTGTTGTATTCTTCTCTCAGAAATTTTTACTGTCCAGTAATCCTGACTCTTACTTCAGCAGTAAGTAAATAGATCAAATACTGCTGATGCACAATGCCGCATAAAGTTCAAGAAAATATATTGGTTGGCAGACCTCTCTGCCTCTAGATCAAAATCGCATAGATAAGCAACATAGAATATTAAACAAATGAAACAATTAAAATAGAATCTCATGGTGATTTGAGTTTTATATGATCAAAGCTTTTAAAAATACTTGAAGTTTGGGTAGGAAATTATTACTTTTGTTTCCTAGTCAATGATAGTAAACCTGCAAGGCACTAGACCTTCATAGTGCCTTCTGTTTGGGTAAGTATCTTTCACTGCACTGAGTATGAGGCTCTTAAGGAAGCGATAGCAAGTAGTTTCTGTAGAATAATCACGACTTTTTAACAATTACTCTTAGGATCTTCAAAGTAACTAATTCAACTTGACCTTATAGTATGCCCTATAGGAAGTTTGCTTTAAAAAAGTGAGATATCTAGTCATTCAGAAGGTATATCCTTCTAAGAATACAATCCATAACTTGCAAAAAGGCCACTGTCAAATGGAAAGGGAAAAGCTGAAGTAGGGAGGGGAGACACTTTTGCCAAGCTTTGCTAAGGTACTGAATCTTAACTCCATTGAACATTCTTTTGAGACAAGATCCAGTTCACCTATGTAAGTAAAACAGAGATGCAATATTTTAAGTTAAATTCTATTAGAATTTAAGAAAAAGTAGAATTTTACCTAAACTGTACAGTGAACCATTGAGCTAAGTTTACTAATTGAGATGTAATTAATAATTAATTTAACTATGTAACTACTGTCAACTAGTAATAACAATTAGTAACTGAGTAGTGGTAAAACACTGAGACATATTCAGTGTAGGAGGACTTTTGGTTTTGTAGAAGACCTTAATTGTTAAAAGTGGTAGTAGATGAAACAAAATTTGTAATAGGGGTAAAAACGTATTGTGTTCAATAATAAAAGATACATCACACTTGGTTTAATGGCATAATAGAATGTTTGTACACTCTCTCACCACTGTCTCTCTAGTCTTTTAGGCACTCACTTTTGAAAATGTCCAATTTCTTTTTGGTTATAAGGGTTTGAAATGTAATATTACTACTTGGTAAATATGTCATGCAACTGCTTTCCTATCACTGTAGTTTCCT